ATTTTTTTTTTTTTTTTTTTTTTTTTTTTTTTTTTAATTATTTAAATAAAAAGGGTTTATTTTAGTGTTTATATTTTATTTTATTTGTATACTTCTCTCGGTTGATATTTTATTGTGTCTGTGAACCTAAACCCTAAACCCTAAACCCTAAACCCTTTTTTGTGGTTTAGGGTCATCGAAGATAATAGTACCTCCAGAAGAAGTAAATCCGGTGTACAGACACCTAAGCAAACAAAGAAAAGAAGAAGAAAATAAAAACAAAAAAGGAGATACAACGCCAATTCTATCCAATGCAGCAGCAGCAGCAGCCGCTGCTGCTGCTGCTGCTGCTGCTGCTGCTGATGGAGAAGGGGAAGAAATGGTAGAAGGGGAACCAAAGGATGTTTATGGCTTAGGGTGTCTCTTGTGTCTCCTTTTAACAGGAAGACACCCTTATATAAACACTAATAATAATAACAATTGGAGGTCAGGGTTTGTTTGTTTTTTTTCTTTTTTAAGGGTTTTGTTTCTTTTTTTCCTCTGTTGTCTGGGGTTTAGGGTTTAGGGTTTGTTCCCTTTTTGCATTTTTTCCTTCTTTTTACTCCTTTCTTGCACTTTTCCCCTTTTTCTCACTCCTCTTAAACCCTAAACCCTAAACCCCTTTTCTCCACGGCACGCCATTCCTCACCGTCACAATTTAGGGTTTAGGGTTTAGGGTTTGTGTACAGAGAGGCGGAGGGTTTATTTTTTTCTTCGTTGATTGCTGGAGAAGAATTAACGCCAAACCCTTTTCTTCAGCTATCCGATGCCGCGGCCGACCTCCTCTGGTAAACCCTAAACCCTAAAACCTAAACCCTAAACCCTAAACCCTTACCTCGACTCCTAAGTCCTAAACCCTCTAGACATTAAACCCTTCTACAGGCCCGTAAACCCCTATACCCACCCATAATCAAAAACGCCCACACCCCGTATTGGAGGGTTTAGGGTTTGCTGTTTAGAGTTTAGGGTTTGTGGTTTGGGGTTTGTGGTTTTGTAGGGGTATGGTGACTGCAAACCCTTGCAAAAGGCTGCGGTTGTCGCAGGTGCTGCAGCATCCGTGGCTGCAGCAAACCCTAAACCCTAAACCCTAAAAAGGGGCTGTAGTTTAGGGCAACGAAAGTCATACCGCTTGAATTAGGGTTTAGGGGTGCACCGCGAGTAGGGTTTAGGGTTTTGCTATTCTAAACCCTAAAGCGTTTGCCCTACACAGAAACACTCCTTAGTGTCCCTCGAGGGTTTAGGGTTTATGCTGAGGGTTTATACAGCAGCAGTCGGTTGCCACGCCGAAGCCCTGACCACAAACCCTAGTAAGCAAACCCTAAATCCTAAACCCTATTTGTCTCAGGTGTCTAGGCAGCTGCGAGCGCCAAAGGGTATAAACATGCGTCCGTTTCAACCACCACCAGCTGCAGCGCAGCAGTAGCAGCAGCAGAGAGTCCTCTGCTGCAGCGCAGCAGCAGCAGCAGAGAGTCCTCTGCTGCAACAACAGCTGCAGCTCGATTTGAGCTGCAGCAATTAAAAGTCCTAAAACAATCCAAAATGCAACTCTGTGAACTCTCTTAGAAGAGCACTAGCAGCAGCAGCAGCAGCAGCGTAGCAGCAGCAGCAACGTAGCAGCAGCAGCGTAGCAGAATAACCGTAGCACAGCAGCAATACAGAAGCAGCAAAGGCAGGGTTAATGTAGCGGTAGTAGCAGCAGCAGGGTCATTGTGAGGATGACGAGGAGAAGCAACAGCCACAGCAACAGCAGCAGCAGCAGCAGCAGCCACAGTAGAATGGCGGTTATATTGCAGCAAGTGTTTGTTTTGCCTTCGCTATTGCTTAGATCTTACAGAGAGGAGAGGGATTAGGGTTTATACTAAATATTTAATTCCTTTATAATTGCAGGTTTAGATGGCTGGCGTTCATAGCTTATTTATCTTGGTTTAGGGTTTAGGGTCTAGGGTTTAGGGTCAAGGGTTTAGCATCTACGGTTTAGGGTCTTAGGTCTACGGTCTAGGGTTTAGGGTTTAGAACGGATCTAGCGGGCATGCAGCTCACAGAGATGGTTTAGGGTTTAGGGTTTAGATTTTAGGGTTTAGGGTTTCTTTTATTCAACAATTAAATTAAATTAAATTAAATATTCAGATAAATAGCACTTTAATGCAGAACAAGAAAGTTAGCCACGGCCGTGGGGCTGCAGCAGCCCCACCTCCACCTTAAACCCTAAACCCTAAACCCTAAACCCTAATCGGCGATCTGCAGGTTCAAGTTGGGAAAAAGCAGGAAATTAAATCACCATTTTGTTTCTTTCTTTCCATGTATCTTGGAAGCCGACGACCATAAACCCTAAACCCTAAATCCTAAGCCCTACGCCTTCGCTTCAGCTCTAAGCGGTGGGTGGCGACTGGGCTGAGGGTTTGCAAGGGTTTAGGGTTTAGGGTTTAGGGTTTGAATATGGATACTTTTGGCTTTTGTGCTATGCACAAGATGGGTTTCTTATTGGCTCAGAACCACTCTCAGTTTTGAGGGTTTAGGGTTTAGGGTTTAGGGTTTAGGGTTTTGAGGATCTGTAGAGATGCTGACTCCTTCCCCCTTCGGGCAGCAGCCCGTTTCTCCGTTTCAGCCGCAGCCGCAGCAGCAGCAGCAGCCATTTGTGTGGGGTGGTGCTGCTGCTGCTCCTGCTGCAGCAGCAAACCCCTTTGGAGGGGGTTTCGGCAGCAGCAACAGCAGCAGCAGCGGCTTCGGCAATGCAACCCTCAATCCCTTTGGTCAATCTGCTGCTGCTGCACCTTTCTGTCCTGCCCCTGCATCAACAGCAGCAGCAGCAGCACCAGCAGCAGCAGCACCAGCAGATGGATCCACTCCTATGGCAGTACAGAAGGAAACAAAGGGAGAAAAATATACAGAAGGAAAAATTTATGTTGAGGCATGGAAGCACCTCCAAACCGCGAAGAAAAGCGGATGTTGGCCATTTACCAGTAAGGGTTTAGGGTTTAGGGTCTAGGGTTTAGGGTTTTAAGGGTTTAGAGCATAGGGTTTAGGGTTTTAGGGGTTTAGAGGGCTTATAAAGAGAATTGAGGGTTTGGATTTGTTAAGCCGGATGCAGAACAGTGTAGGCAAAGGACGGAGGGGGAAAACACTACACGTATTAGGGTTTAGGGTTTAGGGTTTAGGGTTTGTGTGCAGGCACAAGTGCTGGCCCATCCTCGTCGCCAGTGTTTAAGGGTTTAGAGATTTCTAATGACGAATTGCGTTGGGAGTTTTACCAACGAAATGAGCAGCAGCAGCAGCAGCTGATGCAGCAGCTCAGGTAAGGGTTTAGGGTTTAGGGTCAAGGGTTTAGGGTTTAGGGTTTAGGGTTTATGCGCGAACAAAAGCCAAGCAGGGCATCTTAAAGTGATAGCTCAGCTGCCTTGTCGCGCTAAACTAATGCCTGAATCCTAAACCCTAAACCCTAAACCCTCATCTCAATAGGGATGAGGGTTTAGGGTTTAGGGTTTAGGGTTTGCGCGTGCTCAGGGCTGACGCAGCTGCAACACCGCTGCCCGCAGCAGTTTACCCGCGCCACAGCAAAACCCTAAATAAATAAATTAAATAAATAAATAAATAAATAAGTATATAAATATATAAATAAGTGTATTTTATTTATTATTTATTTTTATATATAATATTGTATATTTATTATTATATTTTATTATATACTTTATATTAAAATATTGTTGTTATTTTTTATATTGTATATTATGTTATTAAACCCTAAACCCTAAACCCTAAACCCTAAACCCTCAAAGGCGCAGAAGTATGTCGCGCTGTCTATTGACTGTCTCGGCTTAATACTTTAGCGCAAAAGAAACAAAGAGACAAATAAATAAATAAATAAATAAAAATAAATAAATAAATAAATAAAATAGATTATTTATTTGTCTCCTCTTAGCGGCAACTGAAGGAAACCCGCAGCAAACCCGCGGGCCCCCTAGAACCTCCGCAAACAATTTTAGGGTTTAGGGTTTAGGGTTTAGAGTTTTTTTTTTGTTTGTTCCTTCCATGGATTCTCCCTCTTTGTGTCTTAATACACGCATGTATTATCCGTGTATTTCCCGCTGCTTGCTGCAGCAGCTGCTGCTGTATCAACAAGCAGCCAACAACAGCAACAGCAGCAGCAGCAGCAGCAGCAGCAGCAGCAGGATATTTATTTATGTGTATGTTTGCTGCTGCAGCGAGAAGTTATATTTGCTGCAGCGGGAGTTTTATTTTGTTGCAAAAGCAAAGGCAGCAGCAGAGCAGCTAAACTTCCCTATAGATCCTTTATATGAGGTACCCCCTGCTGCAGCACCTCCTGTCTTCCCTGCTGCTGCTGCTGCTGCTGCTACTGCTACTGCTGCTGTTGCTGCTGGTCCTGCTGTTGCAGCTGGTGGTGGTGGTGCTACTGTTGCTGGATTGCAGCAGAGCTTTCCCGCTGCTGCAGCAACAGCAGCGCCTGCAGCAGCACCTGCAGCAACACCTGCAGCAGCACCTGTTGCATTTCAGCAGCAGCCTGCTGCTACTGCAGCACCAACCACACCGACCGCAACAACACCAGCAGCACCACCAGCAGCAACAGCTGCAGCAACAGCAGCAGCAACGGCAGCAGCAGCAGCAGAGGCGGCACTGGCGGCATACAGGAGTGCAGCATTTGAGGTATATTTTGAATCAGAATGGATTTGCTGCTGCTGTTGCTTCTGCTGCTACTGTTGCTGCTGCTTCTGCTGCTGTTGGTACTGCTGCTGCTGCTGCTGTTACTGCTGCTGCTGCTCCGCCGTCGTGTATCCCTTTTGTGTTTGTATTTGTTTTGTGTGTTTTATTAATTTAATTCATTAATTTTTTATTTTATTTAATTAAAAGTATTTAATTAATCAATTAATTAATTAATTAATTTAATTAATTTAATTCTTTTTATTTAATTTATTTAATTTTTTTTTTTTTTTTATTTGTTGCATGCAGCCCGGGAAGATACCTGAGGAACCGCCTCCCCCTGAACTCTGTCATTGACAAGAGGAAACAGCAAATAAATAAATAAATAAATAAATAAATAAATAAATAAATAAATACAAATAAACTAAGTAAATTAAGTAAATAAAAAATTAATTAATACAATTGGCTGCCTTAACAGCAGGCCGTGACAAAAAAATAAGTACCACCGCAACTTCATTTACATTTGCTGCTGCTGCTGCAGCAGCAGCAGCAGCAGCAGCAACAGCAGCAGCGCGAGGCAAAGTTATTGCCATTAAACCCTCAATGGGTGTTTTAGACTTTTTTTATTTTTTGTTTTTTTAAACGAATATATCAATAGAAGAAAAAAACTAATTGGGGTGTATAGGCAGCTCCGGGTGTATAGGCAGCTTAGTGTCTTCTTCTTCAGCTGAGGTGTATAGGCAGCTACGTTTCTTCTTAGCTGGGATGCATAGGCAACTCGGGGTGTATATGCAGCTCGGGGTGTATATGTAGCTCTGCTTCTTCTTCTGCTACATCCTGTTCGCTATATATCATTGATTCTGTTTGTCCTCCATCAACATCTGCTGCAACATCATCATCTTCCTCCTCTGCTGCAGCAGCAGCAGCAGAAGCACTAGCCCCTGCTGCTGCAGCAGCAGCAGCAGCATCGCCTGCAGCAGCAGCAGCAGCAGAAGCTTGCCCTGCAGCAAACCTCCATACTTGCCTACACATCGGGCAATTGCCTTCTTCGTCGTTACGAAGTCCTTCACGATTTAACCAAGCACCTAAATCATAAACACCAACACCTAAACCCTAAACCCTAAACCCTAGTTCCTAAACCCTAAACCCTAATCCCTACATCTTAGGGGATTTGGGGTAATAACGCACACTAGTGTTGAGGGTTTGTTCATACATACTATGAACTAGGGTTTACGGTCTAGTGTTTGTCCATACATATAAGCACACTAGGGTTTAGGGTTTAGGGTTTTGGGGTGTACATGCATGCATGCATGCATGCATGCATGCATGCATGCATGCATACATACGTACCAATACAATGTAGATGAAAGATATGGCCGCATGCACCAAATGCTGGTGGGCAATTTTCTCCAGGATTATCGCAATTAGGACAGGAAATTTCGAAACAATTTTCACAAATAACACAATTTAAATCAAAAGGAATATCTTTCCATCTATTTACACCAACTGTATGGACACCTAATACCTCTATCTTTATCGTACCACCACCCCTACGTGATGAACTAATACGCTCAATTGGGGGCGACATGGACCTTTTTTTGCACAACTTTTAAGATATTTCTATTTTATTACACTTATTTCAATTAATTAAAAGAAAAATGCGGAAAAAACACACGTAAATACCCGTAAAATTTATCCAATAGCAGATACGAGTCCTGGGCGGTAGCTGGGTACCGTGCACGTTGAATGGATGGTTAAACAGGGGGGGAAAAGACTAAATTAGAAATATTCGAATAATAATACAAATATTAATCAAAAATAGCACAAAAATAAATAAAACTCAAGAAGAATTACCCAAAGATCGTCGCAAAATAAAAAGAAAAAGTCAACCCCCCTGCATGCATGCAGCCAAACCAGAGCACCGCCAGTAACACATACCGAGCACATAATCCCCCTCTACTATTAATTAATTGCTAATAAAATAAAATAAGAATAACAATTAAATAAAAATAAAATAAGAATAAAATAAAATGCAAAAAAAGAATAAATAATTAGAACGTTATATCCAGTTATAAACAAATCCTTACAAAAGACACAGCAGGGAAAGCTATGAGGTCTATACCTACAAACCCTAAACCCTAAACCCTTGCCACTAAACACTAAACCCTAAACCCTTTATCCTAAATCCTAAACACTAAACCCTAAACACAAAACACTAAACCCTAAATAATACACCCAGCTTGGGGAAGTTCAAGGCGGAAGATATAAACAGAAAACGGTAATCGGCGGTCTGCAGCAGCAGCAGCAGCAGCTGCTGCTGCTGCTCTAACTCTAGCTGCATCATGCGCAGCAGCAGCAGCTTCTCTTGTTGCTGCTGCTGCTGCTCAGTACCAGGGTAGCCACCCTACGTACATCTTTGCGAGGTTATCTACTGAAGAAGCAGAACGAATAAGAGCAGCAACCTGTGCATACACCCCAAGTGTACCGCTGCTGCTTTGTGGTGCAGCAGCAGCAGCAACAGCAGCAGCACCTGTTGCACCTGATATGTTGGGCTCTTCCTCCTCGGATTCAACAAAGGAGTCTTCACTGCTGCTGCTGTCGTCATCTCTCTGCAGCTGCTTCTGCTGCTTGTGCTGCTGCTGCTGCTGCTGCGGCTGTACAGACTCTTCAAAGGCGCCAGGGGGCAGCACAGATATACAGCCCTGCAGTTTCTTCTGTATTGCTACGATGCATGCATAGGCCTTGCGCTCTCCTGTCTTTGTTGCTGCTGCTTCGTTCTGCTGCTGTTGCTGCTGCTGCTGCTGCTGATGACGCGACAATGATGTACGCCATTCAATCAAAGGGTCCTGAAGGAAGCTCTGCAGCAGCAGCAGCAACACCAGCAGCAACAACAGCAACATGAACACCACCAGCTGCTTCTGCTGCTGCAGCAGCATCAATAGTAACTGCAGCAGCACCAGTTGCTGCAGCTACCCAACACCCTCACTTGAGACCACCGTAGGAGACCAGCAGCAGGAAGACAACAAACCGTCGACACAAACAGCAGCAGCAACAGCAGCAGCAGCAGCAACGGCAGCAGCAGCAGCAACAGACCATGAAGAGGCTAAGAAGAAGACTTTGATTATTCCTCAGCAAACGGAGGACAGCAGCAGCTGCTGCAGTAAAATCCCCTGCTGTCTTCGTTACTCCAAGAGCAGCAGCAATGTTTTGTGTTAAGCGGAATGGCACTATCTGCAGCAGCAGCAGCAACAGCAGCAGCAGCAACAGCAGCAGCATTAACAATAGCAGCAGAATCAGTAACAGCATCAACAGAAGCATCAGCAAGCAGCAGCATTCGCGTCAAAAGCAGCAGGGTCAGCGTCAGCAGCAGCAACAACATCAGCATCAGCAGCAGTAATAGCAACAGTAGCAGCAACAGTAGCAGCAGCAGCAGCAACAGCAGCAGCAGCAGCAGCAGACTTCAGGGAATGGTAGAGAGTGCCCCTTATCAAAGAGACAATCGAAGTCAACATGCAGCGCAGCACCAGAAGAAAAATCCAACAATATATTCTCGCAGTGTCTGAACACCACACACCCCACAACTCTTGTTGCTGCTGCAGCTGCTGCTGCTGTTGCTGCTGCTGTTGATTCTGCTGCTCTTGCTGGTGGTGGTAATTATACCGCTGTTGCTCCTCGGGATAGAGTTCGTTTGATACAGCTACAGCGAGCAGCAGCAGCAACAACAACAGTTGAAACAAGAGCAGCTTCAGGATCAGCAGCAACAGCAGCAGCAGCAGCAACAGCAGCAGCAGCAACAGAAGCAGCAGCAGCACCTGTCCCCGAGTCCAATGATATAACCAAATGCTGCCCAAGCAGCAAAACTTTGCGTAAAATTTCTTCTTGCAGATAGCCAACGAGAAGGCTCCTCCCCAAACCAATCCAGATACACCCTGCAGCAGCAGCAGCAGCAGCAGCAGCAGCAACAGCAGCAACAGCAGCAGCAGCAAGGACAAAATTAGGATAGCTAACAAAAGCAGCATCTGCATAATAATACTGAAGACTTCTCTACGACTACTCCCTTTAGCTGGTGCTGCTGTTGCCGCTGCTGCTGCTGCCGCTGCTGCTGCTGCTACTGCTGCTGCTGCTGCTGCTGCTGCTGCTGTACTTGTGTAGTATAGGAGGAAATCGGGGGAGAATAAAGTCGAGCAGCAAACTTCGGCATTCATCAAATCGCCGCTGCTGCTGTGCTGCTTGAAATCGGCGGCAGCACTGCATGCATGCAACAAATACATAAAATAAATAGAATAAATAAATAAATTAATAAATTAATTAATTAATTTACTTATTTATTAATATGTCCGTAGTGAACAGCAGCATGAGTCGCAGAAGACCAACAGCAGCAGCAGCAGCAGAACAAGAGCAGCAGCAGCAGAAAAAGTACACCAACACCAACTGCAGCATCACCAGAACAAGAACAGCAGCAGCAACAGCAGCAGCAGCAGTAGCATCAACAGCAGCAGGAGGAGCAGCAGTACCTGTTCATTGATTTGTCTAAAGTTAGGTAAGCAGCAAGTATATTTTGCTGCTAAGCAACTGCGAAGAGTTTTTGCTCCTTCTATCCATTCAATGAATGCTGTTACCTCGGATAGTACTGTTATCTGAAATATTTCCAACTGCAGCAGCAACAGCAACAGCAGCAGCAGCAGCAGCAGCAAGAACAGCAGCAGCAGCAGCAACGGAATGAGCAGCAACATATGTAACATACAATAAGCTTCAAATCCATCGGTGATAGCAGCAGCAAAGAAGAACAGCAACAGCAGCAGAACAAGAACAACAGCAGCAACAGAACAAGAACAGCAACAGGAACATGAGCACAAGCAGCAGCAGCAGAATCAAGAGAAGCAGCAGCAGCAGCAGCAGCAGCAGTAGCTGTATACCTGGAAAGGACATAGATTTTGTGTTAATAGACGATTAGTTGCTGCTGCTGCCTCCATAGTACGAACATCTTTTCTTATATCTCCTGCCCTCTCATTCTTTAATAAAAAAGAATAATTTAATCCATTAGATGCCAGCAGCAGCAAACGTTTAGGTTTCTGCTTACTTTGTAGCACCTATGCATAGAAGCAAGCAGCAGCAGCAGTAGTAGTAGTAGTAGTAGTAGTAGTAGTAGTAGTAGTAGTAGTAGTAGGGGTTGCAGCAGCAGCAGCGGAGGGAGCGGAAGCAGCAGCAACAGCAGCAGATATAACAATACCAAACTAGCAACTGTCTAACACATAGATGAATCAGCAGCAGCAACAGCAGCAGCAAGAACAGCTGCCGCAGCAGCAACAGCAGCAGCAGCAGCAGCAAA